GAAGCTCCCCTCGCAGTCTGCCGTTCACTCGAACCTGACGTTCTTTCCTATCAGCTTCGTCAAGGGTCGAGTGATTTTGGTGAATCCTTCGACGAATCGTCGGTAATAGCCGGCTAGTCCCAAGAAGCTCCTGACTTCCGTCACAGAAGTCGGGGACTGCCACTCCATGACGGCCTCAATCTTTGCCGGATCGACCTGAATGCCCTATGTTGACACCACATGTCCCCGGAATCCAATCTCCTGTAACCAGAAACTGCACTTACTGAAGTTCGCGTACAGCTGGTTCTCTCTCAACCTCCACAATGTCTTTCATAGGTGTTCTTCGTGTGTCTGCGGATCCAGCGAGTAGATAAGGAGGTCATCGATGAATATGATGACGAACTCATCCAGATAGTCCATGAACACGCGGTTCATCATTTGCATGAACTTCGCAGGCGCGTTCGTGAGCCCGAAAGGAATGACCACGAACTAGAAGTATCCATATCTCGTTTGAAATGCCATCTTCTATATGTCATCATCCTTGACCAGAATCTGATGATATCCGGATCATAGGTCGATCTTCGAAATCCACTGGGCTCCCTATAGTTGGTCCACCAACTCATCAATCCTCGGTAGCGGGTACCGATTCTTGATAGTTACTTGGTTGAGTCATCGGTAATCGATGCACAATTGCATACTCTCTTCCTTCTTCTTTACAAAGAGTATCGGTGCTCCCCACAATGAAACGCTAAGGCGAATGAAACCCTGCTCCACCAACTTGTTCAGCTGTTTCTTCAACTCGACCATCTCCATAGGTGTCATCCGATACGAATCTATGATAATTGAGTCAATATCCAATACCTAGTCAGTAGTAAAAACCCATCTCTCCCCTTGGTTGTAATCCCGACAAGTCATCGGGAAAAAGCATTACAAAACTCCTCGCAACTAGTTTGTCTTCCAATCTATGCTTTGGTTTCTCGGTAATCGTGATAACTACAAGGAACGCTCTGTTGTCCCTCCTGGACACCTTATTTTTGGACTTTTGGTTTGCACTTAAGGGGGTCCTCTGCTAACGCCAATATAGATGGTGAGCGAGGTAAGTTCCTCCCCCCACTTTGTCATAAACGCCCACTTGGGTGGGTTGGCGTTTGTTCTTTTCGCTGTTGCTATAGGGCCTCTTGGGATTTCGCAATTAGTTCCCTAATTCCAATCCCTTAGTTTAGGAATTGGGCTTAATTGTAGAAATCGTTGATCTCTATTTAAGCATACAATGGCGACATTCTAAGTGTGCCACGTTACATTCACTAAGCCTTCGACGACCGCCACATGCATCATCAATGTACGGACCTCGACAGGTGAGGATTTTCTTCGGACATGGTTTGAAAACATTTTTCGTAGAAAACCATTGGGTAATGAGCACGATACCTTCCCGAGGAAAGAACGTGGCTCTGATACCAAAAGTTGTGACACCCGTATCCCGCTTCCCGTGAACAGGATGCACCACATGGACAAAAATTAATAACATAATACCCAAACCAAAATACGGGAAATTTAAAACATTTTAACCATAATATGTAAATACGCAGCGGAAATACAACATGTGCGACGATAGTCGCAAAACTAACGCATGTCCGAATACTAAATAATATACCGTACAAAATATGGGAATACATTTCCCGTAGTCCAAAATACAAAACCCGTACATGATGTTGTCCCTTCGGAGTCGTCGTCGGCCGAATGCGCTACGCATACTCCTCGTGATCTGAAAAGGATGAAACCACGAGGGCTAAGCAACTGCTTAGTGAATAGCCCGGGTTGAATCCGGTAAACCCGTTCTCAGCGAGAACGGTGTTAAAACGATAATTCATAGTCAACGTAAAAAACAAGATATATATAACATGCATCATCACATAACATTCATCACAACCATATCAATCACAAACATATCTGTATGGAATCCTCCATAGGGTTTCAGCCCCATATCCTAGCCAAGTCAGCATGGCTAGGGGCGCACCACGCGCACCCGTCACTCACGTGACGTTGGTCGTCGCGTCACCTGCGACACACGCGTATCACGCGCTGGTCACACTCGTGACCACCCGATGTCAACTCAGTATGACACAGACGGGAAAGTAACCACACCCGTATGGAGTCCACCATAGGGTTCCAGCCATAAACCCTAGTCAAGTCAGCATGACTAGAAGCGAGTCCACGTCCGTCAAGTCCATGACGTTGGTCGTGTCAAGTCAGCATGACACAATAAAATCGTAACGCACCCGTATGGAGTCCACCATAGGGTTCCAGCCATAAACCCTAGTCAAGTCCATGACTAGGAGCGCGTCACACGCCCGTCAAATCCATGACGTTGGCCGTCGCACCGCATGCGACCATATCACAATCACAATCACGCTTTACTCGTACCGCACGAGTGAAGCTACAACCATGGCACACAACGATCATGCATCCGTAACCCCCACTACAATCACGCATCTCACGGTATTCGGACCCCAACCGACCTACCGGTCAATGCCATACGATGCTCCCCGATGAGCAAACACACAACGAGTCTCTCAAAAATTGGATCACACATCTCACCGCGGGTGGTAACTCGAAAATTCTCCGAAGAGTGGGTTCTACACTCCGTACCGGTCGGTTCAAGTTGAAGTTGCCATTCGGTTCGTCCGTTCTGTCTCGGACAGCTCGAGTGGACCATTCGGTCCGAAAATCAGTCCGTTCGGACTGGAACCATCAGTCCGTTCGGACTGGGTTTACAGTCCGTTCGGACTGCGTTCTGCAGTTCGTCGTCTTCGCGAAAACAGATTTCTGGTCCGACTTTGATTGCTCAGATCTCCCTCATTTCTTATCCGAATTAAGTCTCGTTTGTTGCTAAATGTTCATTGAAATGTCCTCTTTCAATTACATTCAACCAATAATTGAAACATTGCAATCACACGATGAGAAATAATTCGCAATACAGGTATGTTGACAGGTTCGCGTTCTGCGTTTTCCAGCTTTTCTTCGATTTTCATTCATTCATATCTCACTCATTTCTCCACCAAATTATATCCCGTTTGTTGCTAAGTGTTCATTGAGATGTCCTCTATCCAATACAGGCATCAAATCATCGAAATAACACGATCACATCGATAAAAACGAGCTTACACAGATGCAACTCAAGCCACTCACCTGTTCTTGGATCAGATTCGGTTTGAATCTGATTTGGTTGAGATTGAGTGATGTTTCTGGGCTCCTCCACCTTGAGATCTCTTCCTAGACACTCTAGGGATGTTTCCCAACACTTTCCCAAGCTCCCTTTCTCTCCTCTCTTCTTCTTTCTCTCCCTCTCTCTCTCTTTTCTCCTCTTTCTCTTCTGCAGCTTCTGGATCCGAAAATGGCTGAGTGAAGAGTTGGAGAGGCAATTATGGAGCCTAGGGAGAGAGAGAAGACGAATTATTGACCCTAGGGGCTAGCTAGGATCGCACTTTGTCGGGTTGGTGGCTTTTGAGTGGGTTATGGGTCGCCCATGTGCGAGAAAGTCGCGCACTAAAGTAGTTGTCGACAGTCTGTTTGCGTAGTCCGTTCGGACTATCTTAAGTAGTCCGTTCGGACTGCCTTTCTAGTCCGTTCGGACTGACTTTCTTAGTCCCTTCGGATTGACTTCCTGGTTTGTTCGGACTGGCTTCCCGGTTTGTTCGGACTGACTCGCATAGTCCGTTTTCGATTGCTCCGTTCTCACTCGTTTCTTAACCAAATCGCGCACCGTTTGTTTCTAATTAATCTTCATTGGGATGTCCTCTTTCATATCCAAGTGATAGGTTATTGAAAACTCATGTTCACAGGATGCAATTTGATTCGCAACTCTTGTACCTCATACAAATTCGCGATCTTGCAATTTCAGCTTCTCCTCAATTTTCGTTCGTCCATATCTCCCTCGTTTCTCAACCAAATCGAGTACCGTTTGTTTCTAAATCTTCATGGAAACGTCCTCTTTCAAGAACAACAAACCATTGAGATATTATGGTTATGAGATGAAAACAAGGGTACATAGAGATAACTCATATTAGCTCTCTATGTTTTTAGGCTTGTTTTACCATTCATTTATTCCCAAAAGTCATTTAAATAATTTATTCGGGAATCGGGGTATTACAACAAGGACCTACTCTACCCCTAGACGACTCATATGCATGTGAGTTCTATGATAAAGATCTCAATCCACTCATAAAATTCTCAAGTAAAGATGGTGTGATCATCGTTTACGAATCGAAACGTGCTGAAAAATTCGAATAGTATAAAAAAACTTGGTACCGTTCTGAATGGAATCGTACCGAAAAGTTCGAATCATACAAAAAAACTCAGCACAATTTTCGAATTGAATCGTATTGAAAAACTCGGTGCCTTTTTCGAACCGAACAGTTCAGAAAATCTAAACGGCAATATTTCTAAAACATCGAATCGAATCGAATTTTAAAAAACTTGAAAAACTGATTTTTTTTAATAAATATATATTTTTTCATAAACTAGCGAATATAATATAATATCTGATTTTGTATATATTTTTATTGAATCGAATAAAACGAAACGATTATTAAAATATCAATTCCTAGTTTATATAAGTATATTACATATTAATAGTTGTACATATATAGAAGTAATATATGAATATATAGATGGGTTTAAATGGTTTACATGGGTTTAATGGGCCGACCCAATCCAAACCATTGTTATTAACTGTCGATCCAACCCAACCAGTTTACCTTTGAAATCCAAATGGGTTAGGAACAAATGGGTTAGCCCAACCCATTTGGCATCTCTACAGGAGCCTAGGCAAGAAAGTACGTATGGTTTCGCTCTTGCATCGTGTCCGGTTCTTGTTTATTTTTCCTAAATGACATCAACTGCGAATTAGATTACTAACAGAGAAATGGTAATTACTAATTCCCGTTGTTTTTTACATGTTTTGTGTTTATTTTATTGTTGTTTTGAGCCAACTTTTAACAGCAGACCAAGTCCTCAATCAATATATGACATTCCATTTGGACTCTTTCCTTTCAATCTTTTCTTGTTTTTCATTTTCGGGTTATTCCCCCATTATTCTTTTACTATCAAACGTTACATATCGTGAAACACAAAAGGAAGGGAACCACACGTAATTAAAGAGAGTCACAGGAAATGTGACAAAAGAAAAAAATTATGGTAGTGATGATTTATTACAGGAACGAGTGCGAGATCCAAGTATAGGATCAGAAAGCACGTGCGAAATCGAGGGATTTCTTGCCGTCGTGGGCTTGTCCGAAGAAGTTGTTCATGTAATCTTGGAACAAGACCTCCTTGTAACGAGCAACGCCGTCTCGCTTCACGATTTCTGGGAAAGGACCGATCTTCTCCCAAGGCTTAGGAACTGTGAATATGGGCACTGACACTCTCGCTGATGTCTCCGTCGTCCGTACCCTATGCTCTGCGCTCTTGTACCTTCCATTGCTCACAATCTAACCCATTCATGATACTAATTAGTTATTACTGTAATCAGAAAAATCCGAATAATGTCAAACCCCTAACAAAAAGAGTTATTTAATTCATCGATTGGTCATCTTGTTTTATGCACTAATTAATAATTCATTCGGTTTCGACAGTTAATGCAGATTTAAACTGAGTAATGATAAAGGGATAATGAACCTGCAGAGCATCGCCGACGTTGATGACCAAGGCACCGTGCACCGGCGGGATCTCGACCCATTCTCCATTGTCCGTACCCTCGTCGAGCTTAACATACAAACCTCCGATGCCGTCTTGTAATAAAACCGTCAAAGTCCCCATGTCGGAGTGGCGTCCGACGCCGACCGTGAGCTCCGGCTTCGGACACGGTGGATAATAGTTCATGTTCACCATCGTCATTCCCACCAACGCTTCTGTTCTCTCTTCGTCCAGTGTTACACCTAGTCTCCCCATCAGTACTCCCACAATCGTTTTCACCATTTTCATGGACGTCTTCAAGTACTCAAGTGCCACGTCCCTATCTCACGATTATGATGTTTTTTTGGGCACAGAATCATAATAATTCAGATGCTATATATTTAATTCGGAGATTAATTTGCATGCATTGCCCGAAAATGCAAGTACCTGCATGGATGAGGCCAATGTTGGAGGGCCTCGTCATCGTTCGTATAGACCATACTAACGTAATCCTTCCACTCCAAGGCCTCCTCCTTCTCGGGCACAAAGCTCGTTCCGTACTTCACCAATCGGCTCGGACTCACCTCTTTCCGGTACATCGCCTTTTTCTCTGGCGGCTGTTTGAAAAACTCATGAGCCGCCGCCTTAAGCGACTCCAGCAGCTCCACCGGCACTCCGTGGTTTACCACCTGAAATATAATCTATGTTAAAGACATTCTAACAAAACAATCCAAAATAGCAAGATGTTCAAATGTTATAGATATCCATTCCGTGAACCTGAAAGAACCCTAATGTCTCGGCGGCTCGGGCAATCTGGTGGGCCACTCGGTCGTGGTCAGGGCCATCGAGCAGTGAGAGATCGATGGGTCGGGCCGCTTCGCAGATGTGGGCGTTTTTTATGGGGATTCGCTCGTGGGGTGGTTGGACGTAGGGCTGTGGCACGGTGGAGAGGCCTGAGTCCATGAGACCCTTCACACCGTAGCCTTCTTCGACTACGAAATTGAATAGTGAGTTTCGGTCCTCTAAGTTCATGGCCATTCTCTTTCGTCTCCTTGTTGTCGCTGAATTTGAATGCAGATTAGATGTGTTGAGGCTGTGGGGAAAGCTGGTATAAATAGGGAAGAAGAAGGATTCGCAAATGACACTTTCTTTAGATTTATTTTAAATTTATTTTTTTATTAATTATAGCTAAACGAGAGTAAGTTGCGATTATCATACAATTCATTAATTACGAATATATGCATGTCTTGGAGTTGACATGTGAAGTGAAATATGCATGTTCAATGCCAAATTCTCGCATTATTAGTTGTTTCTCAACGGAAGATAAGAACATTTTAATATATATATATATAAATGTAAGTAACATATGCATGAATATCTGGTTATTAGTCTTATGGGGTTTGACTTTCTTCAATGGCATGCACATTGCCTCAAAACGTACAAAGAGTTATAAGAAAAACTTGAAAAAAGTACAAGTTAACTCCACAAGTGTTGTGTATACATACATGTCTATACGCATATAATATATATCTATACACACATGGTATATGAACATTCTGACGGTTGGACCTACCACCGGGCATATTCTACATAACTTGGCAATTAATTAATTAATTAGACATGCGAACACTGAGTAGGTTTCCAACCAAAAAAAAAAACAGTAGGCTGGACATAGTTCATATTGGCCCAAATTATATGGGCTTAATATGAAAGCCCACTTATTTTTCATGCCCAACAATATATTATATTCACGGACACGAGGGCAACTTCGGGTATTTGAAAAGTTGTCTAAATTCTTTCTCTCTCTTTTTTGTTTTGGCGGAGGGTTGACGAGGAAGGATACAACCACTTTTCAAAAGTTTCAATGACATGGTTGAAATCTATGTTGGGGTGTGAACGGTCATGAAAAAGTACCCTATTAGTTTTTGTATTTCAAAAGAGATAATATAAGTTCCCTATTTATAGCAGTGGGAAGAGAATCTCGCACGGATGATAAAATAGTTTTGATTTTATTATGATATTATTTTGATTATTAATTTATCATAATTGATCCATTTTCTGTAAATTTTATTTCGATGTGATTTTTTATATCAATCAAGAATATTTTTTCATTATTCTACCGATTATTTCCATTTAAAGCTTTCTATAACTTTCCAAATATCAGATTTTTTTCAAGGATTAGAACCGTTTGGATTCTATCAAATAAGTTCAAATCAAACAACCTATAAACATAAACTTCTATTTTTTTCTACTTTTTTTTAACACTGTATATGAATTTATTTATTTTTATAAAACACTACATATGAATTAAAACAGAACATAATATAATTTTATTAAACAAGATCGAGATTGGTATTGTTAACCATATCACTTTAAGAAAATGAATCCACCCACACACACATTGACACATAATTAAGATGCAAATTGTGAGGTATTGTCTCCATCAAAATCGCTAACACAGTTGCATGCAATATAAGGCCTAATTTAAATCGTGCGTAACATCATATATGGCTTCACCGAAAGAGATTATAAAGATTAGGGGATGGGATACAAACGACTTTGTCTTTGTGAGACAAGAAAAAAGATGGTCCCAAGAGGTCAACCCAACCCATTACATGTCGATCGATTCTGTGGGTCTCTCCGCCCCGTTGCCATGTTGTTTCATTTTCTTCCCCAAATCTCATCACCCGCGCTTTGTTATAATTATATATTCGGGACTATACACAATTGAAAAAACCGGACCCTCAAAGAGTAAAGGGAAAAACTAACCAGTTCTATTCACTTGAGAAAAAGTCAGCTACTTAACACTCACTCTCACAATGAATTCTACCGATCAAAAACCTTACCAAACGTAAACGCTCACCAAAGGAACGGAGATTTTTCCATTAGGTCTCCCCCTAAGATCCACGTCCAAACACTCATCAGAGAAAAGAGATTTGCTCCATCGGTCTCTTCTTCAGACACATACTCACTCAAAAGTGAGTTATCACTCACCAGCAAAAAGACTCTTTTAGTAAAATATGCTTTGCTCTCCGTGAGAACTGATATGCGGCTTGTGTCTTCTTTATATAGGCTCCTCCAGTTCGCCTTAGATCTCCACGAATTGATTTGATAGACTCCTCCTTGATTCTCTTGGATTTTATCTCTATCTCTAAGATCTCATCTTTGTCTCTATCTCTTCAAGTCTTTGACTTTATCTCCAAGACTGTCTCTATCTCAAATCTTCTCAAATCTTCTTAGCTTTGATTCTATCTTTATTTCTTGGAGTCAAATCCAAAGTTCGTGGCTCTATCTATTCAGATTGCTTTCCCTAAAATCTCTCCAAGTGGTTGACATTGAGTCCATCTTAATCTCTTAGAGTCTTTGACTTTATCTGAATCTCGTCAGTTGTACCTCAGATTTGCGTGAGCTCTATCTCGCCGGATTCTTCTCCTGAAATCTCTCAAGTTTGTTGAACCTGCAATAACCACTTAACAACCAAAAAAACATATGTGCAAATAATTGCACTAACAATCTCCCCCTTTTTGGTTATTTCAGATCATGCACACACACATAAAATTTCAGCACAATTTCGCATCAGTCGCATAAGGATTCAGACATATTTGATGTTGATTCCGAAGTAAGTTTCACAACTTTACTTAACCGAGTTTGTCTCTGAATTTGAAGTAAGTAACTCTGATCACTTTGACTTTGTCTTTTCTTTTCTTCCTGTACGTTCTCATCTACATATTCTCTTCAACTTCTGAATCATCATCCCCACATTCTCCCCCTGCGTGCATGTATGAAATAATCCAAAATCTTGAGTGAGAAACGATTTAAGATACTTACCTGACTTGCGGAATTTTGAATCTTCCTCTTGGATCTATGAGTTCACACCTCTTGTCACACCATTTTTCTGTTCAACACTTAGAAACCTCATGCAGATTGTTTAAAAAAAAATACACTTGCAGAAAAATAATATGAGTGACACCTCCTTTCTCATCTCAGAATTTATTGCAAGTCTCAGATTTTTCAACTCCATATTGTCCAATAATTGAGTCATTACTTCACCACTCAACTCAAATCAGGTTTAATTTTTTGAAAATCAAAAGAAAATACATGCGAGATTAATTAGGATCTTTCAAATTTCAAATCTAATAACATCATTCAGCAGATCATTAGAAAACAATACTTGATCAGTTAAGTCAGAAATACCTCACTTTTCACCAAACTACACTTCACTGACTTTTCTCCCCCTGAACTTCTAGGACGTTGAAATCGAGCATGCATGTTTCACCATTTAAGTCCAGACTATCTCACTGAGATATACTCTTGTAATATTGTAAATTACAGCGGAGTATGATGCATACATATCATCTGCCCTTAGACATCGTATAGACCGCATGCGGTTCAACTTAGACCCGAGTGATTCAATTTTTCAATCTACTCATATTAACTTTTCCTCCTTTTCTTTTTCTTCCTTTTTCTTTTTTCTCCCTTTTTTTTAATCCCTCTTTTTTTCTCTCTTTTTCTATTCCTTCTTTTCCTTTTTTTTATTATCATTCAGGAGTATTAAGCCAACAGAGGAGTATCAAGGGATGCTCATGTCATTTTTTACGAAGTGTACTTGGCATACCTGTCAAGTATCGCTGACTCTCCTTCACAATCATTGAACCAAATCACTTTCAAATAGACACCATTAAAGATAAAATTAGATTTCTCCTAATCAAAATATATATATTTTTTAAAAAAAACACACAAACCCATTCATGTCAAGTGGTTTCGTAAAAATATGAACTAATTGGCGTTCAATGGGTACATACTCAATCAACAGACCGCTCTAATTTTCTTTTTGAGAAAGTGGTGTCGAATTCATACCTTCCACTTGAGTGTACCCTTGATCTACTAACCTGACTTTGTTGCGAATGACTCTTTCATCTTCATGCCAAACATCATTCCTTACACATTGCTCAAGTTTCTCATTCATTGTCTTGAGGTAGTACTCATCATTTATCATCTCGTTCATCTTAGTAGATCCATCCTGCGAAACGAAGCAAACAAACTTAGCCATATCTTGATAATTCAATCGAGGTTTGTCCCTTACCTGTCGTGGGTCATTCACACTTCCAATCACATCATCAATTGAGTGGTTTCGAGGAACATGGGGCTTAGGATCATCTTTCGTATTCTCGTCTTGCACTTCAGAAGTCTGAGATGGATTGAGATGTACCTGGTAAAAATATGAGTGATCACTAACTGGTTCTCGAAGCATATCAGATATCTCGTATGCTTTCTCTGCACTTTGATGCAATAACTCTAGTTTACTGCATCCGGAAAGGTAGTTTTACCTTTGAACCTTCTGTAGTGAAATACTATCGGATGTACTTGCTAAATAGTGAACGCGATGTCTTGAACTATTCAGCTTTTGTATACACCAAGACAACAGTACTCACGCAGCACCCCCTCTCTCTCTCTCATTAGTCCACTTGTTGCGCCCATTATGGCCCTGGGACAGCACCTGGTAGATTTCATCAAATACTCTAGAGAACTAGCCTTTATGTCATTCTCATAGAAGCGGCCCACTTCATAATAGGCTCCTCCAGTTCGCCTTAGATCTCCACGAATTGATTTGATAGACTCCTCCTTGATTCTCTTGGATTTTATCTCTATCTCTAAGATCTCATCTTTGTCTCTATCTCTTCAAGTCTTTGACTTTATCTCCAAGACTGTCTCTATCTCAAATCTTCTCAAATCTTCTTAGCTTTGATTCTATCTTTATTTCTTGGAGTCAAATCCAAAGTTCGTGGCTCTATCTATTCAGATTGCTTTCCCTAAAATCTCTCCAAGTGGTTGACATTGAGTCCATCTTAATCTCTTAGAGTCTTTGACTTTATCTGAATCTCGTCAGTTGTACCTCAGATTTGCGTGAGCTCTATCTCGCCGGATTCTTCTCCTGAAATCTCTCAAGTTTGTTGAACCTGCAATAACCACTTAACAACCAAAAAAACATATGTGCAAATAATTGCACTAACAATCTCCCCCTTTTTGGTTATTTCAGATCATGCACACACACATAAAATTTCAGCA